CCTCCACACGCGATGGCTGGTGCGGCGGCCGCCGTCTTCGGTTGCTACTCCCCGCGATTCACTGTGGCGGCGGCCGCCGTCGGCGATCACCCTCTCCTCTGAGTCGCTTTCCAGCGTCCCGACTCCAGCCACCAGGTTGCAGCGGTGGTGGAGCCGTCGCCTTGGAAATGAGTAAACTTCCGGCGTGCTGCGGTCATTTCCGCTTCCTCGCGGTTGTGCGTCACTTCCGGCTTCCCTGCAGTTTTGGGGGGTTTTTTTGTTTTTTTTTAACCCCAAAGCTTCTCCTCTAGAGATGGTGGAATGGACCGGTTTTCGGTGAAATTCCGCTCCGTCTCACATTCAGCATGTCTAGGCCCCGCCTCTATAACGGCCTGGCATAGGTCGCGCCCGCCGTGTCTCGGCGACGCACGTGGAGACTCCAGGACTGCAGTCGACGTAGGTGACCTACGTGTGTGCCTCGGGCCGGGCAGGGCCTTTTATCCTCGGCAAACCGAGTGTCATTTTTCAGTGCTGGTTGGAGCATTGGAGAAAATATATTCTTACCCTATCATTTCATAAGTATGGACAAAAGACCTAACGGAGGAGTTAGCAGCTGCAGCGCTATCATTGTTGCGTGTTACTACTGCCAGGCTCTTTGATAATCGCTTGGTACTAATTCTCACACTAATTTTGTAAGGTAGGTGTTATCCCCGTTTTGCAGGTGAGGAGATTCAAGGTATCAGTAATTTGCTAAGATCCAACAGCAGGTAAGTTGTGAAGCCAGTATAAAAACAGGTCATCAGTCAAAAGACTGCACCGGGTCTCCTGACTCCAAGGTTCCTTTCACTGTAAAATGTTTACTTTCAACAGTTTGGCCCAGATCTTTTTCTGCAACCCTACTGCATAACGTGTATTCTTCCATTCATATTTATAGCAAATATATGGGTCAGATCTTGAAATACAGTAAATGCCTTTCTTTAACTTCCATGGCCTCTTGTAACATTAATAACTTCCATTTGTTGAGTTCTTATGATGAATCTGGCACTGTACTAAGCGCTTTATATTAGTTTTTCTGTTTAATCCTTCACCTAACCTACCAGGATAGTATTACTGTTCCTTTCTACAGTTAGAGAAGTACAGCACCAAAGTTAATTGCCTGAGGGTACACAGCTAGTAAGTATTAAGTCCTCGCATTAGGTTTCCAACCTAGATCTTTGATTTTGCTGTGCATACTCCTCGAAGTCTCTGAATTCCCACAGCCTTTATTAGACCACTTATCATACTGTATTACAATTACCTGTTTAACAGTTCGTTCTCACCCCTACCCCCCAGGGACTCTGACCTTCTGGAAGGTGGAAACTATCATTATTCATCATGGCATTCCTAACATCTAGAATACTTAGTTGAAGGGAAGGAATTACTAACTGTTGTGTGGGTAAGTGGGTTGATGGTTGGTTGATTGTCTGGTGAATGAACTGATAGATTGAAAGTAAAATTTTTGAGGGACTTTGCTGGTGATCCAATGGTTAAGACTCTGCACTTCCACTGCAGGGGGCATGGGTTTGATCCCTGGTCGGGGAACTGAGATGCTGCATGCTGCTTGGCATGGCCAAAAGAAAAGAAAAGTACAGTTGTTCAGTTGGAAAGGAATTTGGGATTAGTCAGCCCAATGCCCTCATTTTTGGAAATGGGGCAACTGAGGTCTATTGTCTTACCAGACATCTATTGAGTTATTAATATGGGCCGGTTTTTATGCTAAATGATTTGCAAATAGTCTTAATCTGTATTATTATTTCTATTTTTACAGGTGAAGAAATCAAGATTTGGCCAAGATCCCATAACTAGGTGGTGGGGAGTTGGAAGCCACTATGACTGAACTCCAAATTAATACAGTGTTTGTAGCCACTTATATAATAATGGTAAAGGCATTACTTTTTTTGCTGTGTTGTATGGATAAACCCACTGAGGCTGAGGGAATAAGGCAGCACGCTCTTAAAGGATACACACTTGGTGGAAAGGATCAGAAAAGAAACAGAAACGTAGAGAAGCAGAAAAAGTAAAATCTCCCAAAATAAACTTGAAAGGAATTAAAAAATAAAAGCAGAAGTTAATGAAATAGAAAATAAAATTGATCATAATAGTAGTGGGTGTTCAAAAAGAACAATAAACAGCAAATCTGAGGAAGGAGAAGAGAGAAAATATCAGAAGCAAAGGGAACACATTACAGATATTAGGGACTTTGAAAACAAGTGAATTATTTAGTGTAACCTTATACTTTTAATCTTGAAAATTGACTTGGACATTTTTTTTTTTTTTTTTGCGGTATGCGGGCCTCTCACTTCTGTGGCCTCTCCTGTTGCGGAGCACAGGCTCCAGACGCGCAGGCTCAGCGGCCACAGCTCACAGGCCCAGCCGCTCCGTGGCATGTGGGATCCTCCTGGACCGGGACACGAACCCGCGTCCCCTGCATCAGCAGGCGAACTCTCAACCACTGCGCCACCAGGGAAGCCCAGACTTGGACAATTTTTTAGGAAAATATAAATAATTAAAAAATTGGCTGAAGAGTTAGAAAACGCTAATAAACTGATAATTATAAAAGAATGGCTTCCCTGGTGGTGCAGTGGTTAAGAATCTGCCTGCCAGGCTTCCCTGGTGGCGCAGTGGTTGAGAGTCCACCTGCCAATGCAGGGGACATGGGTTCGTGCCCCAGTCCAGGAGGATCCCACATGCCGCAGAGCGGTTGCGCCCATGAGCCATGGCCGCTGAGCCTGCATGTCTGGAGCCTGTGCAACGCAACGGGAGAGGCCACAACAATGAGAGGCCCGCATACTGGAAAAAAAAAAAAAAAAGCCTGCCAATGCAGGGGACACGGGTTCAAGCCCTGGTCCGGGAGGAAGATCCCACATGCCGCGGAGCAACTAAGCCCATGCGCCACAACTACTGAGCCTGCGCTCTAGAGCCCGTGAACCACAACTACTGAGCCCGCCTGCCACAACTACTGAAGCCTGCATTCCTTAGAGCCCATGCTCCACAACAGGAGAAGCCACCGCAATGAGAAGCTCATGCACCACAGCGAAGAGTAGCCCCCACTCACTGCAACTAGAGAAAGCCCGCACACAGCAACAAAGACACGTGCAGCCAAAAATAAAAATAAATTAATTAAAAATGTAAAAAAAAAATAAGAATGCCTTATGTATCCCAGACAAAAGTCACTAGGAACAAAGCATAGAGGAAAATGGAGTACTTTCCAACTTTGAAGGTAGCATAACCCTAAGAATCTAAACAAGGATAGTGAAGAAAAACTTACACCTCAGTCTCACTTATGAATATACATGCAAAAATCCTAAGGAAACTATGAAGCCAGCAGTGCATTTAGAGAATAATGTCATAACCAAGCTGGGTTTATCCTACTAGTACAGGATGGGTCAACATTAGATGATATAGTAATGAAAATTTCCTGCATTAATAGATAAGAGAAAAACTATGATCTTAATTGATACTGAAAAAGCACTTGAAAAATTAGCATCGGGCTTCCCTGGTGGCGCAGTGGTTGAGAGCCCACCTGCCAATGCAGGGGACACGGGTTCGTGCCCCGGTCCGGGAAGATCCCACATGATGCATAGCGGCTGGGCCCGAGTCATGGCCGCTGAACCTGTGTGTCCAGAGCCTGTGCTCCGCAACGGGAGAGGCCACAGCGGTGAGAGGCCCGTGTACCACACACACACACACACACACACACACAAATTAGCATCTATTACTGATTCAAAAAGAAGAAAATAAAATTCATATTAAGCAAGTAATAAAAGGAAGTTTGCTTAACTGGATGAAGGGTATCAACCAGAAATAAACAGCATGCTAATGTCATAGTCCAGGTTATCTGCTATCATTCCTATAATTCAGCATGGTTCTGAGAATTTTGGACACAGTATAATAAGGAAGATAAAGTATGAAATTGGAAAGGAAGAAATTAAGACAAATGATAATTGTGTGCCTAGAAAATCTAAGACAACTGTAAAATACCATTAAATATTAAAGAGTTTATTAAAATAAGCTATCAGAGCAACCTACAAAATTAAGATTACCTATACACTAGATAGCATTAAATTTTAAATGTAAAGGAAGATCTTGTTCACAATAGCAGCAATGATGGCAAAATATCCTAGAAATTAACCTATCAAGAAGTG